GATAGTAAGAAACTAAGAATCTAGCAAGTCACCTTAAAAAAAAGAATCTAGTAAGTCTACCCACGACATGGTAAAAGGATGTTAATTTTTCTATTTCCCCGATCCCTGTGGGGACCTACCCCAAAAGGGGTGGGGATGGGGATGATTTGGGATATGGGAAAGTTTTCATCCCCATTGATGGGACAAAGAAAGCACTCCTCATCCCATGGGGATCCCTGTTAATATATATGTATATATGTATATATTTATATTAATATTTTTAAAAGTATGATTGAATATATTTGAATCTTTTTAATAGCATTGTAAATTTTATATATTTTGTTTTTATTTAAAAAAAATAGAAAACAAAAACAAAATGATTGACATTATACAAATTCACTGGAAGTGGGGATCCCTACGAGAACGAGGATAGGAATAACCTTGTTCTCGTCCCGTTACCATTATGAGATTAATTTGACCTACCGATGCTGATTACCACATTCGATTTTAAGTTTTAATGTAGACAATTTTTTTGCATGGGGCTCATCTTCCTCGTATGCGTGGCCATTCCCTCCCCCTCGTTTAGGAATTAGAATCCCGTTCCAATCAATTGCGATCGTTATCACCATCTAAACCAAATATCCAAAGGAATAGATTGTTTTGATCCCGATTCCAACTATAAACCAAACGAAGCTTAATTCTATTTTATGATTTTTACTATGAGAAATCTCCATTCCACAAGGGGGTAAGTCTTACACACTCAACTACTTGGTTCTCTGTGACCATTAAAAAGAACAAGGTTGTCTTTGGTTTAAAAGAAGAGGTTTCCCCTTCCTTTCCCTATCATTTTCTTTCAAACCAAGCATAGCTGTATTTGTAGAATAGATATGTTTACGTGTTTGGCTTCAGAGGGCCTTATGTGTCTTAAGCAATAGTAGTTACTTTTAGGGGTGAGCATAGTTCAGTTTAGTTCAGTTCTAAGGTTGGACATGGAACTTACCTTGTAAGAGTCAGTTCTAGGTTTTTGGAACTAGAACCTATCTTGTGAAGGTCATTTCTAGGGTTGGTTTTGACATCATTTTCAAGGTCTACCTATGGAACGTAGTATTTATTTACTCTCTCCCTCTAAAATAAAAAAATGAAACATGTTCTTTAAAATCTTGATTTTTAATAATTATAATATATAGTTCAAAACTTATATTATATTTATTAATTAAATTGAGTAATTTAATATGTACATTATCATAATATGTTAATATATGATACAAATCTTTTCATTATTGAATTAGCTGGTTTGTTCCAGCACTGACTCGGAATCAAATCCCACAACCAACACTTTGGGGAAAAAGGGATCAAGGGGGAAGTTATTAATGGTGCATGGCACCAAATACCAAATAAAAACTTTTCATTATAATTTAAATTTTCTAAATATCACATTTACATTACTTATATACACATTCAAATATTAAAATGAAAAAAGATCAAATCAATTAAATAACTCAATGGTCAATTAAGGAGACGATGGCCATGACCTTTGTAACCATGAGTGCTTGGATTCAAATCTTTACATTCTTAAAAGTATTTTGAGATTTATTTAAAGGCAAAATTGGTTCCAAAGCCAATTCATCAAGTTGGTTTTGGTAGAGTAAACCTCCTAAACCCTAAAGCCGACCTGGATAGGATCAACTCCAAAAGTTTGGAATTGGACTCTATCCTACAACAAATTAGATTAGGTAGGTTAAGTCTGATTTGAAGTAGATTCTATTGGATTCCCAGTATAACCTACCCATTTGCTTGAACCCAAATTCAGTTCTCATATGACTATGCCGAGTATTTAGAAAACCAAATTGGATTGACGAGTTGGACCGATTAAATCATGACCCTAGGACCTTGGCCGATTCAATCATACCCCAATAACCGCTTTAGTTAAAAATTGGTGAAAACTGGCTGATTGGCCAGTTTAATCGGAAAACCAATAAACCAGTCCCAATTTCATGAAACCTCCCAGATCCTTAATTAATAGAAAGTTTAAAATGTTTGATTATTGTCTAACACTATCCCTATTATTTTTGACAATTGAGTAGTTCTACCCTTATCATTAGCATCTTTTAATATTTCGTCAAAACCCATGCAGACATGACACTACATGACATTTAATTTTTTTAAAACCCAATGTTACCCTCGTCCCCATTCTCTGGACGACACTCCTTCCTCCAATCTCTCTCTCTCTATCTTCCCTCTTTCTTTCTCTTTCTTCCTTTTCTCCTTCTTCTCTTTCTAAAACAAGACACCATCCTTCGACCTCTCTTCTCTCCGTCTTTGTGAAAGATAGAACAACAACAACAACAACTCTCACAACCGTCAGTAGTCGTGAAGATCTGTGTCTTCAATTGTCGTCAGTTGCTATAAAACGCTCAACCGTAGCAAAATACTATTAAATACTAGATCAACAATAGCCATCGATAGCCATTCGTAGTCATCGTTCACCGAGATCAACCCCACCTTCATTCAAACTATATCAGCTCCGATCGCCGTCTTTGATTGATGGTTCACCTCTGTCCCATCTTCGATAGTGGGGGTTCGATGTTGTTATTACTTGAAAATTGAAAATTAGGAGAAAAACGAACCAGATCTCAGATATAGGTTCCTTGCAAATCTAAGAGATACTTAGCATATTCAACGTTGTTCAAACTAGATCATCTCCGATCACTGTCTTCGGTTGATGGTTCGCCTCTGTCCTATCTTCGATATTGGGGGTTCGACTAATGCTATTACCTAAAAACCGAAGATGAGGAGACAAATGAACTAGATCTCGGATCTGGGTTTCTTGTATATCTAAGAGATACTTAGCAGATCCAACGTTGTTCCATTCAACCATCACTATTCACTGACAACATCACACGATCGATATTGTTGCTGAAGAAGACAATACGTGAAAGGGAGGACAAATCAAATGGCACTCATAGCCATCCGATTTTATCATGATCCAAGTTCTCGATGATTCCACAAATCAAATGATCAAGGTGCTCACTTTGGATTAGATGGCCTTAGAACATAGAAAAAAAAAAACATTTTCTCTTTAATGTGTTATAGTTTTTTTCCCTACTTCTAATATGGGTTTTAGATAAGAAACAACTAGTTTTTTCCTAAAAAGTTTCAATTTTTATATGCTTTTATTCTTATTATAGTACAAGACGATGGCCATAAGCTCCCACCACTGCTCTTTGCCAACATCATCCTCTTCTCTATTGTTGTTGATTTCTTCGGTGGCTCCATCTGTTGTGGTTTATTTTTGTATATATGATTTGTGTAGTTTATTCTTGCAAATCTGATAGCCATGTGAGCAATCTCATCGAGGTTTGGAAGAAGGAGAGAGAGAGGGGGGGGGGGGGGGGGGGGGGGGGGGGGGGAACTGTTTTCAAAGGGATTTTACGGAAGGGTAAAACTGACATTTTATCCATTTCGTCAATATTTAACGATAATAGTAATTTTTTGAAATAGTAGGGATAGTGTTAGATAATAGTCAAATAGTAGGGGTATACTTAGTCAATTATCTAAACCATAAGGATAGTTTAAGAAATTTACCCTTATACATATTACTTTATTACACATGTGATTAAAGAAAATATAAATTAAGAGACTTGATCCCTAATCAATTGCTTTAAAAATTAGGGAACTTACTATTAATACACCATATTTAAATATATTAAAAGTTATAAAATGTATTATATATAATATTTATATAACATTTAGTATAATATATATACATATATATATATGCCACATCATTACAATTTGACCTCCGATTCGTCCCCAATTGAATCTTTAACCCATAAACAAGATCAGCTTCTATCAGAGCAAATTTGTGCCCACACCATTCTAACAACCTTTTGTAACCTTGCATTGGGAATATCTCCCTATGAAATAAAGCACACAAGTATGGAGATATTCTAAATGCAAAGCAGTAAAAGCAACCTGAATGGGCTTTGCCTTTATTGAAGTCAAACTCCCCATAAACCTATTTCCTCTTTGATTCTATACCTGATATGGTTCTCAAAACATTGACCTTATTCACACCATACTCACAACTACTTTGCAATTGTATATATCTAGATAAACAAATACGAACATATTCACAGAAAAATGGTTTTGAGTACAGTGTCAGCACGGTCTTGTTAGGGCCAAGGTTTAAAATATTACAACATATCGGACCGTATTGGCTGATACGCACTGTTTCGGTAGAATCTGATACACAAAACACATAAATAATTTGTTCTATTTCTTTTCGTATGTATCGGCTGATGTGGGCCCGTATCGGGCCATTTTGGATATGTATCGGTTGATGTGGGCCCGTACTAATTCCAATTCTCTCGTTATTTGGATTAATTAATGATCCTCTCTCATTAATTTTGTTTTGTTTGTATAAAAAAACTACAAATGTTAACAATAGAAAGAGTTAAACCTTGGTCACTAGAATTTAATACCCATAACTTTGCCACTAAGCCACTCCAATTTATTTGTTATAATTATAAACATTTTTAGTTTTAAGTAAATTTTATCTTTTCTTAGTGGTGCATTATTAATAAATGCTGAGATTAATTATTAAAATCTATATACTCATAAATATAAGATAAATTATATTGGTTATTTGAAAATTGATGTATATAGATTCACATTTTAGTTTTTTTTTTTTTGCTTCTTTCCATTTTAGTCATTGCTTCATTTTTCAACAGTTACTAATTATATCTTAATATATCACATTTTATATAAACATTAAATTATATTTTTTTATATTTAAATGACTTATTTACAATCATATAAAACTTGTAAGTATTATTATTAATATATTTTTATAATTTATTTGAATTTTGTATCATATTTCCGTGTATTTTGATTTTTTATCCGTATTCATACATATCTAAAATATATTCGATATATCTCTTAAAATTATCTTTTTCATACACCTCACGTTTTAGATACTTTGAACCGGACTCCATTTGTTTATCACCCTATCACTTTAATATTTGATTTTTGGGCCTTTTATGCCCTTTTATGTTAAAGCCTTTTATCAGCCTCTTGGAACTCGGTTTTACTTTTACTTCCAAACCCTATTCGCTTGAAACCTCATCACTCATTCGGTCGATTGCCGCCTCACCATGTTCGGTTGTTGAAGCCAGTTGCTTCCATCGTTAGTTTGTCACCGTGGTTGGTTGCCGCTCGCCGTGGTGATCACCGGCTCACCACTTCACTTCAAGTTTTCCCTACCTGCTGCTTGCATCTTCGGTTCGTCACCGACTCATTCACACTATCTCTTTGTCGGCACAGTCTTCTCTTTACCTGCAACGCTACCGCCACTGCGGATCAGAACTGAGGTGTGACTTTTTCTCCTTCTTCTTTCTTCCTTAGGGTTTAGGGTTTAGGCTCTATCAATACATTTTCCAACTCTTGCCTTTATTTTTGAGAAACAAATTCGTTATTTATTTACAACTTCAAAATTGTACTCTCCATGCAACTCCGCCATTAATAATGGATGGATCTATGGTGCTTTGACACAGATAAGAAAAAAGTGAACTGGAGCATCTATCAGTGCTTTCCCTTTTGTTGGGTTTTCCTTCCCCGAGTCCCGTCCCGGCTTCTGTCGACAGACACAGAGAAATGAGGCTTTTGACACACAACATGCTCTCTTGCAACATCAAGGGCGTGACGAACGGTTTCCCTCTACGTCTCGAGGTGGAGAAATTTGTGGAGAAAGAAGTCGACTTCAGTGCAGAGTTTCTCAGGAACATATTCCCCAAGATCGAATGGAAGGCTCTCGTTGATGCCGCTCGATCCATGGGCTACGCTGAACTTCCCGACGAGGCCGATTCATCGATGCTCGACTCCGACGACTTCCTAAAGAAGTTTCACCACGCCTTGCTCGAGCTTCACCTCGAAGAAGGTGCTCTAATCTGCCCGGAGACCGGTCGGCGCTTCCCAGTCAACAAGGGAATCCCCAACATGCTCCTTCACGAAGACGAGGTCTGATAGATCCACCGCTTGACCATTATCGTGACTTACTTTTCCTCTTTCTGCTCCAGCGACGAAACTGTAAGATGAGGAATTTCTTTTCTTTGTTTGATGATAAAGAACTGTCATCAACTCTGTTTTGGGTTAACCAATGAAAATATAGCTTTTCTTCTTCTTCTTCTTCATCATCATCGCTTTCTTCTTCAAAAGAAGAAAAAGAAAAGAAACAGATGAGAAAAGTATGTTGGATCAAACAGTCAAATCTAACAGGTATTTGTTTCTGGTTTTTAAAAATTTCTAGGGGTTTTTGTTTGAAATGGTTTCTGTTCTACATACAAAGGCGGCATATCTCATAAGGGTTTTCTGTGAAATGAACAACAAAATTTGTTGAATTCACAAAATTCAACGTCTGCCTCAGAATGCCAACCATCTTCCTCGCTTCTACAGATATTGCGCAGCAACTTCATTCAATACTTTTGAAATTCTTAACACCATGAACTGCACTAAGAAAATTTTTCCACAACTTAACATAACTCCTAACCACAAAGAAACAAAACAAAACCAATCTAATATAACAATGGAAAGTAAAAGAGCAGATTAAAGACATCATGAGATGAACTGAAGAAATTAAACCTATTGTGGGTTGCAAAAACTTTCATAAACAGAAAATACAAAATCAAAAGATTTAACAAGTGAGAGATGCAATGATTTGCCATCTCTATCAAGAATGTCTACGTCTACTCGAGCAACAGAAACAAAGCAAAAGAAAATAATTGCCTATTTAGCTTTATACTAGCATTGGTGAAAACATGTAAAGCAATGACTTGGATATTCAGTCTGAGCCACTTGCACAAAGCCAATGTCAAGTAGCTCCTAGCTTTGTTGTTCCAATCATCTAGCAATGACTTGGATATTTTTTATCTTTCTCTATACCTTCTAGCCCTTCAACTTGCAAAAAATCATCTTTTACAGGTTTTATTGATAGTTTTCTATAGGCATGACCAAATCATTATGGTCTACATTTTCTAATTTTATACATCAAGCAATTTTAGGTCAAGTTCTCAGTATTTTAAATATTTAACCTTTTACCAAAAATAAACATTTAGCCCTGCTTAATGAAAAAAATTTATATTATATATAAAAGTGGGGATGCAATGTAAAACTTTTTTGGACTAAAATTATCCTCTACCTCATTGCTTGAGAAAAGGGTATAAAAGCCATTTTATTACAGATTTAATGGATAGCTCATAATTGTGTATTTGGTTTATCTTTAATGGTAAATGTTTGAAAATGTAATTTCAATTATTACTTTCCATCTCATTTAATCCCCTTTTCATTAAGTTTTATATTTAAATTATTAACTTGCATTTTCTTATATTAAATCCTATATTTAAGTTATTTTTACTAATAAATGCTACTAATTAAATCTATGTCAATATTTTTAACAAAGGGGTATAAACGGATCAAATTCGAATTGGATTAGGCAATATCCGAATTTGAATCCGATTAGAAAATCCGATATCCGAATTTGTAGATACATTATTACTAACATTATCATCCTCTAGAATTGCCACGTGTAAAGCACGTACAAGCTTAATAGTAAAAGGCAAATGCCATTATGTGAGAAACACTACAGACTTTATGCTATGAGAATGAATTGTGACCATACAACCCTCCTTAAATTGGTATGCATGCTGCTTAATGATCAATTATCAAATTAAAATTTTGAATTAACTCGAGTGATTAGTTTTAGTGTAGCAACACGTCCATTACATATAAACAACAAAATTAAATCCAATCCAACCTTGACCAGTTGTCCTCAAAGAATAAGGGCACATTTGAGAATATCTCCAGGACATGTATGTTAAATTCATGGAGAGATGTTCCTTCTATGTGGCAGGAGTCTCATTCTTAGGAAATCCTAAGGTTCGATATTGAGTGGGCAACTTGTACTATATTTAGAAAAATAGTCTTTTCGCATGGTCTTTTAGTTATTTACAAGCTCGACAGATCGTGATGCGGTCTATTCCCGTTTAATTTGCGGTAGATCTAGCTGCCCAAAGCTAATGTGTTCGAAAGGCAATATTCGAAAAACTCTAAATAAAACTTTTGCAATTTTTTTTTTCTATTCATCTTCACGCGAAAAGATGCACAAAAACACCCCTTAACCAAATGAGCTTCAGGTTACTTAAATCTTAATGCGTCTTTAAACTGTCAGATAAACGGTAACTCTGGGATTAAACCCACGTAACTCTCTGTGGAGCGTGGACTGCGGTAAGCGGTAACATCTGTGTCTCGATGGGTAAAAAAATGGGCCTAGGCCCACCTAAAGCCCAAAAAACCATTGCAATTTAGGTTGACCATAGTCCGGTGATCCGGTCCACCCCGAAGGAATGTTCATTATGATTTATGAAGAGTTTGCAGGCTGCTGCGGTTCGTCTGATAGACGATTCGTCCGGGAAACCCGTCCCGGGTGGAGTTTCTAAACTGAAATGAGGTAGTAAAAAAAAAAAGACATTCACAAGAGAAAGAGCGGGAAAGGTTTCTTCTTCGTCACTTCGTTTTCCTCCGTTTTAATTTGATTTCACTTCCCCTCGGACCCGGCATTATGAGCTACTCAACGGTCGATTTCATGGAGGTACGAAGGCTCGTCTTGCAGCACGAGACCGACCCTGGCCTGCAACCGAGGCTCGAAGACTCTACTCTCTTTCGAGCTTCCAATGAGGTCAACTTCTTGTCCTCTTTCTTTTTTCCCTCTCATTCCTCCGATATAGGGCTTCAAAGATTAAAAAATTTCCCCGTCTCACCTTGAGACCATTTCAGTTGCGAAACTTCTGTCATGATAAAAGGACTTGTATTGAATGGTGCCGTGTTTGAATTCTAACTTAACTGACAAGGTTTCAACTTTCAACTGTTAGCAGGCGCTTTACCATGGTAGTTCACTGTTAGAACCTGAAAATTTTGATATGGGTCTCTACCATTGTCTGGTTTTCATCATTGAGTAGCTTTGATTCCACTTCTTCTGCCTAAGCTTATTAGATAAACGTTGGATTTGAACTTAGGGTTTACTTTGTGATTTTCTGTGATTTAAGATGTAGGATCTGTTTAAGTGTTTCTTTAGTAATGCCAAACGAGTCATTTTTTTTACCCTTTTCATGCAAGGTAAATATTAAAGACACTGGCTTTGGATCTGCCTATTGGGATCATCTTAAGTGGGATTTGAATCTGCCTATTAGGGTCATCTCAAGGGCAAGATCACTGACTAATGATGAATCCCAGAGTTCTAAATACAATATTTCTCGTAATAATAGGAACATTAGGTATTGGTTTGACTTGATTGTTCAATTGAGTGGCTTTTGCATTGCAACCTTAGAACATGCAGGCATGGTGCATGGATAGTGGGGAAGCAGATAATTAATCCTATTTGGTTTGTCAGCTATTTGCTTGCACTAGCTTCTGATGTAGGATCTTTGTGATTCAGCACTATTCTTGCAACCAACTTAGGTCTAAGTGTGTTATGTGTAGCACACAGACAAAGAACTAATGGAGAAAGAAGGTAGGATAAGAGAAGAGAAGAGGTGGAAATAAGATGAAAACCCTAGGCAATCAGACCTAAGGCTGATGGCAATCACACCAATAAGCAAAAACTCCTCTATTTGAGCCTTATAAGCTTAATAAGAAGAAGACCCC